GTGTTCAAAAAATAAAACAAAAGGGAAATGTCTTCCATTCATTCCACTTTTTGTCCTGTGCATCCTGACACTTATAGTATGTTTGGTACACAGTATTGGACAATAATGGGTATAATACACATGGTTTTAACTTCTTTTTCTTTCTTAATATAATCCAGGATTGAGCAACCCTCTATCATGCAACTGAATGTGTGCTAAAACATTGATTTTGACCAAAATTCTCGAAAGTTAACCAGAAGATTTATAATTTCCAAGCTTACTAGTGAATTATTAGCGAGGAAGATGGGAGATTCTAGCAGACTTGTTGGGCTGACACCAGGAGGAATTGTCAGATAAGGAGACTGAACATCCGGGTTCTGAGAAAGGTCAGCTGTCCGGATACTTTCAGTATTCAACCTCGGGGCATTGAAACCGGCTCTAGCCGCCATCCTCTCCAGAAGACCACCACGTGAACTCATTTTCTGCTCCAACAGGACATTCGACTTTATTGTTTCAATATCAACTACACTAGATTGTATCTCGTCCTTTTGATCAACATTTCTTGATTCAATCTGCCTTTCAGGGCCTGTATAAAGACATCCGCTTCTATTTTCATTACCATACTCGGCACCTGATCTTGCCATGACTTCACCACCAATCATTGATGGAAAAAAGGCCCTTGGACTAGGACAGGGAGGCATCCAATCTCCCATAATAGCGACATGGTCATCAAACCCACCCATGAGAATTTTCTGCCTCGTCCAATTCTATCAACTTGTAATCAAATAACCTACAAAATTAAAGTGTTTCCGGAAAATATTAAAACATAAGGAAGACATCAGACTATAAAGAAAAATATCAGTAAGAAATGTAATGATCCAACGGCACCTATAACAATCAAGATCAATGAATTCATGTCAATTGATAGATTCTCCCTTTTTATTAATTGAAGCTCAAGGATGGTAAGTTATCTATCACTTTTTCTTTCTCTCCATGCTGTAAGCCTATACAAATAGAGCCATTAGAGTCAAAAGAGACTAGTCTAGTTCAAGAAAATACATAAACATAAGTTCTTGCAACACCACCGATTATTCATTTTCCCCTCTGGAGCCCAAATAATTCTGTTGCAATATCAAATCGGTGAATGGCTTTAGATAACGTAATTTACAAACAAGTACATAATTAATATTACTTTCTGAATAATTTACTTTACATTCAACTGCACCATAAAGCTTGCTTCCCACCCAACATTTTTTTGGACATAGATAGAAATTCATCATACAAGGTCTCAATCATTTAAGAGTCAAATTTAAAACAAGACCATACATTGAATTCTAAAATCCATCAAGATCTAACAAATTTGATAAGAAGACGGGAAAAAAAAACTACTTTTTTTTTGCAGGACCATCAAGTACAAAACCAAAAAAGAAGTCTAGTCTGGACTTGAACCCATAAGGTAAATTCTCCCCAAGAAAAAAATAGCAAAAACGAAAGTATCGATGATTAGCGAATGATGAACATAAAGATATGCAGAAAAGCGAGTTATAATACCTGAAGAAACGTAGAGCAGACAAAATTAAGGAAGAAGAAAGGAGAGACCTTTTTTCTAACCCTCTTCACATTGATTTCTGCTTATTGGGTTTTTCCCACTGAATGAGAAAAATTGTCTTTCAAGAGCAAAACAAAAATACCTTCAGCTTCCTGTCAATTTCCTCTACTCTCTACTCTTTTGTGTCTCTAGACAGTGGTTTACCAGTTTGCCAAAAACATGATTGCTGGTGATATATAAAAAGTCATTTTAGAAACAAAAGTGGGGTTTGTTTGGTTCTTGGAATCAAGAAAGATATGATTGAAATTGCATGAATGAATGAAATTGGGCTGGGCCCTGAGAATTCAAAATGTTTGACTGGCCAGTGAAAGAGTGCCATGTCAGCATGGGAGCTTTGACTGGTCAAATCAATAAAAGAGGGGGCATTATTGGTTGATGACATAAATGGATAATTAATAAATAATTATTGTAATAAATTTATTAGGTACAAACATTTATCATAGGATGCCGGATATATGGCTACGTGGCACTCCTCAAAGAAACTGAATATGATTTTGTATCCACTGATTTTTTCTTAAATTGCTATAATTTATTATTTCCACTTATTTAGGATTTAATTAAAAACATATGTTTTTATTAACAATTTGGATCTAAGTCGTGTTTGGTAAACAATTTTTTAATTTTTTTTTAATGTCTAGACCGATAGCTTGTTTGGTAGATAGTAAAATTGGATTAAAATTGAAAAATTAGTCGTTATTGTTGACTTTTATTAGATGGTGGGATCCAATAACGACTATATTTTTAATTTTAATTGGATTAAAATCCATCTCAAACAAGCTCTGAATAATACGAATTAAGAAAGAGGGAATGAGATAAAATCTCGTCCAATTACGTGCACAGAATGGAGAGAGAGAGAAATATGTAGTGAAGTTTATCTAGAACTTGTTTGGTAGAGATTAAAATCGGATTAAACTTGAAAAATTAGCCGTTATTGTTGACTTTTATTAGACTAGTGGGACCCAATAACGACTATATTTTCAATTTTAATTGGATTAAAATTCATCACAAACAAGCTTCTATTATTCGATATCTTTTCTATATTCATTTGGGTTTAGTACGTTGTATTAAACTTGGTTTAGGGTATAATTCAAATAAATAAATAAAAATTTTAATATAGCTCAAACAGGGCAAAAAATTGGGGTCAATCATCTCCTCGAATTCCCCAAACCTATGCACACCTAGGGGCAGTTTGGGCATCCAGATGGTAGGACTTTTTTCTATGTCTACATTTGAGTGTGATGATTACAGAGAATATGATAATTTTGGACTATTTTCATCACATATAAACGTGAAAAGTCCAATATAAATTGACTATGGACGTCCAGTTGTCACTTCTCAATATTGAGTCAATTACGATTTTAAACTAACAAATACCATTTCATGCCTTTGAACTAAGCAATCAAACCAATGCAAGTTTCACGATTAAAAAAAAAAAATAAAACCTCCATTTAGAAACAATGTTATCCTTCAATTGTGTGAATCCTTATGGTGGGAACATATGTCAATACATCTCAACGTGTATCACAATAGGAATATAATGTTAGTCGATTGTACATCACAATAGGAATATAATGTTAGTCGGTTGTACATAATACGACGTGTAG